AGATAGATAGATAGATAGATAGATAGATAGATAGATAGATAGATAGATAGATAGATAGATAGATAGATAGATAGATAGATAGATAGATAGATTAATGTATGTGTATATGTGTTATTATTTTATTTTTGTAATTGTTTTAATACAACAGAAATTCACTTTGGTGTTAAACCCATCAGATTAGCTTGTAGCTCGTCAATCTGGTCTGGATTGAATGTTTTTTTTTTTTTCCTCCAAATTACGCTTGTTCAAAAAGCCTTCTACATCAGTAAGATATTAATTGTTCATAACAGTTTTTAAAACTCCCATCTCCAAATCTCTGGTGGATTTTTTTTTGAGCCGCTTAATAAAACTAAAAAAAACTTTTATTTTGCACTTTGTTTTGAAATGTGGCTTCACTTAATATTATAGTTATGTAATTGTGTTTGCACTAAAAACTACTTTTAGATGGTACATTATTGTGGAATAAAGCAAAGTAATGTAACCTCTTGGGCTCTGATCTGCAGCTGCCTGTCAACACTGAAATAACAGAATCATCGGACAGACTGACGAGCACTTTACAATTAATCCACCAGCCTGTCACTTCAAGCTTATATCATAGATTTGATTTTATTTCTGCAAAGCCTAATTCATATTGTAATCACTGCAACTGTCTTTCTTGCCTTGGTATTTTAGACCCTCGTATTTTTAGTCCATTTGTTCACTGTAACTACATTTTAAGACTAACTCCCTGACAGAAGCTGTGTCTTTCCAAACTGCGCGAGCTTACTGAAAGCTGCCTCAGGCCTGGTTAGTATTGGTTAACATCAGGGATTAAAGACAGCACTTTAAAACCCTTTGGATTATTTCTTCTATCAGTGTATGCTTTGACTCTGGCTGTAGCGGGCAGGCTGTAGTTTCCTCCGCTCCTTTCACTAATTTATGCCAGAAACAAAACCCATTTCTGGGTCATAAATTCGCAGTGAGCTCTCTGGAGCATAAGCTTTGCTGTGCATGTTTTTCCTGCCTCGCGTTTCGCCGCCGCCGCCTCTGTTTTTTTATATCCACATAACTGAAGCACATCTGGACTCTGTCATATTTCATTTACCTAAACACAGGGACGCGGCACATAAGCAGTTACAGCAATGTACCCCAGGAGGGGAATGTAAGGAAGAGGCAGGCTCATTTTGGATAAGATGATGAATGTGTTCTAGTTAAAGATGCTTTTAGGATCTCAGCTTCACAGCGTATAATTCTAGCTTCAATATATGGTAATTTATACATGCAATGTGTTTTTAAATATATATTTTTAAAGTATGCATATGCAAATAACACCTTTATCTTGCCATTTTTAATCAGAAATTCCCATGGTACCATGCAGAAGCCAGAAAAACTTATAATAGAGCTTTTGTACTCATGCAGTCATGGGACAATGATTGCACACCCTCTTCAAATCTAACGCCAGCTGCACAAAAACACAACTTCCACCATGTTCTTATTTATTAAACAAAAGTGAAGCTGTGTGGAAAAGCTAAGAGAACCCCATTTAACAGTTCATAAAACCACTGTTAGCTGTGAAAACTCTCATTCTTTATGATTTTATTTGTCTCCCATCATGGTACGGCTCTGTTAAGGTCTCGCCACAGCATTCCAACCAGGATGGTCTGGACTTTGACGGGACCGTTGCAGCACCTTGATCTTTTTATTTTTCAGCAGCTACGTTGTAGGTTTACCGCCATGTTCGAGATCATCGTCCTGTTGGAAGACCCCGTTTGGTCCAAGCTTCAGCTGCCAAACAGATGGCCTCACATTTGACTCCAGGATACTTTGATTTACAGAAGAGTAAACAGTTGACTCGATGACTGCAAACAAGCCCAAATCATCAGCCACCCGCCACCGTGCTTGAGGGGACTGTGCTGATTTGCTATTTGTTCACTTTTTGCATAGTGCAGTAAATTATAATCAACATTTTTCTGGTATATGCTGATGAAACTGTTGTTTAGAGTCATGCCAAGCCTGTAATATTGGACCTCGGGTGTCTGTATTTGATTCCAACAATCAGATTCAACTCAAACTCGTTCTTCATGTGTGCAAATAAAAAACAGTTCCACAAGCTAAGTCTTTAAATGGCACAGCAATAGAGTTTGTAGAAACGTATAAATACAATACCTCTAAAAAGCTCCACTTCAAGTGTCATATTGACCACATAAAAAATAAAATAAAAAAAAATCTTTAATACATCATGATTCCCCGTCATGGCCCTTAACCTTCCTTCCACTGCTGGACCATGGGGATATTTTTTATATTTTTATTTTACCAGGAAGAAATCCATTGAGATCATTCATCTCTTTTACAAGGATGCCCTGGACAATCTGCAAATACAGCAACACAGTCTTAAAAATGTTAAGAGTATGAATTCAGCGTTCAGGCAGTCCTGCTGCCCAAGAAGACGAGAGGTCTGCTGGGTCTGGGTGGACGGATCGGCATCTGCAGCCAGTTTCTTCAGATCTGTTGTGGGACGGACTGCTACAAGAGATCCTTCCTGCCCAAAGCAATCAGCATCTAGAACAACTCTAATGAAAGCAGGGTGATGAGCTACAGCAACAATTCATTTCCCTTTGGGGTTAATAAAGTATTTTTGAATTGAATTGAATTAAAATATTTACAACGAAACATCCATTAGTAAAACATAAAATGCAATTAAAAAAAAATCACAATGTTGGATGTTATTTAAATGAATGCCTCAGCCAGCTCTTTGCACAAGCTGAGTGTTGCTTTTCATGCACCTTTGTGATTCATAAAATGTAACACCCCCCCCCCCACACACACACACACACACACACACACACACACACACACACACACACTGTGCTCTATGCAGTGGTAAACTGGTCATTGTTATCGACTTCTGCATTTCCATTTCTCCATCCTCAGCCTGCTGCCTCCTTATCTATATTCTACGATGTCACATAGAGAACCTTCGCTCTCTGGGTTTTATTGCCTTCAGTGTGTCCCCTCACTTCGAACAGAACTTGGAAAAAAGTCCATCTTCTGTTCAAACACCCCTCAGCAAGATCTGACATTTTAAACAGAAAACGGAAACTCTTGTTTTGTTAAACTCTGCCCCCTTTTAAACATCAAGATGATGTTTTATGATTGTTGTATAATTTATGTAAATGATTTAGTGTCTGTCTTACAGGTCTGTCTATTAAAACTGGCTTTGGAATGCTCCCTTCCTCAGTGGACGCCACTAAATAAAATTGAATAAGCTTCTGATGGGGCTCAGGGGGTGGGTCAGTCAACCTCCGATGAGAGAGTCTGAGGTTTGCACCAAAGTCCATTCTCAATAATCCAGGTATAAGATCCAGCAATGTTCAGTCAGATCATCTGGACTTTTTTGTTTGTTTGTTTTTTGTGCTGAGACATTTCGCCCTCCATCCAGAAGGCTTCATCAGTCTGAGGAAACGCCAAACAAAACTGCTTCTCCCCCAACAACTTATCCAAAGTGGGGAAAAACATGTTGGTGCTAAGATGGCCTCTGGTGTCCACCCTCACCCTCATCGACAGTCATGTCAAACTGGTTCAAAACAACAAAGTCCATGCTCAATGGTATAAAATCCAACCATTTTCAGTCAGGTCATCTGGACTTTTTTTTTGTGTGTGCTGAGACATTTCACCCTCCATCCAGAAGGGTTCATCAGTCTGAAGAAACACCAAACAACTGCTTCTCCCCCAACAACCTACTCCAACTTTCTGGATGGAGGGCGAAACGTCTCGACACAAAAAAAAAAAACGAAACCGTGCAGATGATCTGACTGAACATTGTTGGAGTTTGAGGTTTGATTCCGCCAGCAGTCACATGCAGAAGTGTCCCTGGGCCAGACACGGTGCCCTGCTTGTGTTTGAATTAGTTTAAAAGCTCAGAATGAGATGATCTTTGTAGAGCTGCAGTAAAGTGTTTTATGAAACTGTGGAGGGCACGGGTTGTGTTGATGCGTTGAGTTGCCTATTTGGCTCCATTTACTGTTTACACCAGCGCAGCGGACATTGCTTTTATAGAGGTGGGCACCTTAACTTTTACCCACAGCCTTTTCCATTTATGCTTCTTTTTTTTTTTTTGTTGAGTAGGGTGGAATCCATTGCTTTTGTATGCTTTAAGGTTAATAAGATGAATTTTACTGAAAGGGCATGGACTGTTCATGATTAATTTAAAGCATTAAAAAATATAATTTGCAGGATGATAACGCCCCTCTTTGTTTTTTTTTTTTGTTTTGTTTTTGCACGGTGCCCATGAGCACCAATAGAAAAGCTCTCAGCCCGCCCCTGCCGGCTCCATTGTGGTTCTGTTCAGCTGGAAGCCGCTCTTCCATCCTCCGCACCGGAGCTGCGCGCCACCCGAACCAGGAGCGCGCCACGAAGGTGATGATGTTACACAGTCCAGCCGCATTCTCTGGTAAGACGCGCACCTTTTATACCTGTTCTCCTCCGCGCACCACCCGTTGAGCTCGTGCGCCTTTACCTCCTTTAACCCTCGGATCTGGATCGAGGGGGAGAGAGGGTTCGGAAGCCTTTCCGTGATGACACGCTGCTTTAGTTGAGTGTTTTTAACACATGGGGACTTGGAAGGGCGTTGGAGGAGATTTTTTTAAATGGATTCGTGTCAATTTTAGTCGCGCAAATATAAATAAAATTATTTTAACTTTTTTTTCCGCGTGTGTCCATTTAACTGCTTTTTGTTAAGTTGCGGAGCAGAGAATAAACGGGGATGGTGCTCAGTGGGAGCCAGAGCTCCGTCAGGCCGTGCAGGGGTGGGGGACATGGTTGTCATTCGTCTTCAACCTTGCCAACCCCCCCTCACTGTTTGTCTTTGTCTCTGGACATTTTCACCTGCAGCTCCACGGCAGCTCGCGGGGTTTTATGTTTGTTTGAACCAGCGCCGTTCACATCAACACGTGCAACATTGCGCAAAAATGGGGGGGGGGGGGGGGGCATATGCGCCCCCGCAGATTTGGACCGACTGCGCGCGTTCCTCTGAGCTCTGCGTGCCGCCAGACGAACCGAGCGGTTAGCTTCCTGTTCAGCACCGCAGACAGAGACACCCCCCACCCCCACCCCACCCCGGTGCCCCTCTCCTCTCCAAACGTGGACGCACGTCCGCCCACGCCAGGTCGGTTTCTGCGCGGTTCGTTTTGGAGGTGAAATAACACCGGTGTGGTGTTTACTGAAGCTCAGGTGCAAAACTGTGTGTTCCACAGTGCGCGTGAAGTGACTTCAACCCACCCCAGTCAGAAAAACACGAGATTCAAACCCTGTGTCGTCATCAGTATCCTAAAGTGTCGTCATCAGTATCCTAAAGTG